TGAGTAGAGTTCAAAAGGGAAGCATTTATTTTAAATATATAATATTTTTTTGATCATGTAAATGTTATTTTTGATGTCATGTTTGCTCAATTTAATGCAATTATTAATTAATTTATATATATATATATATATATATATATATATATGTGTGTGTGTTTGTTTGTTTGTTTGTATGTATACACACACAATGGTGGCCAAAATGATTAGAACACTAGTATTTTCACTGGCTAAAATTTTTTTTAAATCAAATATTTATATATTTTGCTGTAGTGTGTCAGTAGGAAATATCAGTTTACATTAACAAACATTCATTTAGCCTTTAATTGTAATAATCCAGTGAGATTTTTGTTTGCACAAGAAGTCTGACACAGAGATCTGATCTCATCATTATCCAGTCTGTCTGGAATGACTTGAAGAAACAGAACAAACTGAGACAGACTAAATCCAGATGAACTGTGACAAGGTCTCCAAGATGCTTCAAGAAGCATACCTGCAAAGCTACAGCACCGTTAAAAGATTTAGGCACTTGTGTAAAAATGCTGTAAAATGAGGATGCTGTCAAAAATAATCAAATATATTTTCTTTAGCAAATTACTTCTATTAACTAAATTAAATCAACTTTTGGTGTGACCATCCTTTGCGTTTAAAGCAGCTTTTGCCCTAGGTTTTGCACAAGAAGTCTGACACAGAGATCTGATCTCATCATTATCCAGTCTGTCTGGAATGACTTGAAGAAACAGAACAAACTGAGACAGACTAAATCCAGATGAACTGTGACAAGGTCTCCAAGATGCTTCAAGAAGCATACCTGCAAAGCTACAGCACCGTTAAAAGATTTAGGCACTTGTGTAAAAATGCTGTAAAATGAGGATGCTGTCAAAAATAATCAAATATATTTTCTTTAGCAAATTACTTCTATTAACTAAATTAAATCAACTTTTGGTGTGACCATCCTTTGCGTTTAAAGCAGCTTTTGCCCTAGGTGCATTTGCGCATAGTTTTTCAGGCAGCTTTGCAGGTAGGTCGCTACAGCAAAAGATAGAAATAACTGACTTACTAGTATTTTCACCAGCTAAAAATGGTTTTGTTCTAATAATTTTGGCCACCACTATACAGTATATATACCGTTTTCGGTCCTAGAGAGCCACTGTCCTGATGAATTTAGCTTCAACCTGAGCACAAGCTAATCAATGTCTTCAGGATTACTAAGGCTATAGGCAGGTGAGTTTTTTTCAGAGTTGGAGCTAAACTCTGCAGGACAGCGGCTCTCGAGGACTGAACTTGTCTACCCTTGCTCGAGTGTGAAACAAACACACACACAGGGAGGAATCAAAGATTACATTTGCGACTGTTACTATTAAGTTAAGCCCAGACTAAACTAAGAGGATGAAATCAGTTCATAGCAAGAAAGATGCAGCTCTGATAAAGCTTTTAACATTTTAAACAGGAAATCTAAACCATTGGCTAATCAAAGGTATTACATTTGGTATATTAAATATTATTTATTCCTTTCCATTCAGTAGCACAACTGTCAACATTTAGAAATTACAGCATATTGGTATATAAATCAACAACAACAAATTTGGGCTGTGGGTGCTTTTGAGCTGGTGTGAGGTTATATTGTGCTGTCTGTATGATTTAATTATATTATAACATATAGGGTGTCTTTATAGAAACAATTTACTAAATAACCTAAAAGACACGCATAAAATTGTCTCATCATTTTTAATGCACAGCAACATATTTGATTATGTCTGGCAACTTGACAAATATGTTTTCAAAATTAATCAGATATATAAACTTAAATTTGCATTTAACATTTAATGGTCTACAAACAGTTGTGAAATAATTATTTAAAACTATACTGACTGATTTTGTGCATTTATTTGTCATGAAAACTAACTGAATCGGAGCAGGCTTAAAAATATCTTCTCCTTATCCTTCTTTTTTATTTCTCATCCATCTAGTAGACAACCTTAGTATTACAGCCTTCGTCTGTCAGCTGAAATGTCTGATAGTTTTTAACTATGCATGCATCATCAGAATGATTTGGTCTCCATATGTAAAAGGTTTTGACGTGTTTGAACACGAAGAACTTGCTGTTACTTTAATACATTTTCATGGCAACATTGTTTGAGATATCCAAAAAAGGTTCGCAGTTAGGGTTAGTCAGTATTTTGGCATCATGTAGAGAAAGTTTGGGGTAAATCGTATGACAGCAATTCAAGGAGTATTTAGAAGAAACCATTTACAGTTTGAAGTGTTGCCATGGCAACAGTAATCAAGAATCTCTTCACAGTTTTACATCAGCCATGTTTTGACATTGCTCTGATGAAGTTTGAAGCAAATCGGGTAAAAATAAAAGGCTGATTTTAAAGGGGACATTTTATGGCCCTTTTTACAAGATGTAAAATAAGTCTCTGATGTCCCCAGAGTGTGTATGTGAGGTTTTAGCTCAAAATACCCCACAGATATTTTTGTTAAAATTGCCACTTTTAGGGTATGAGCCAAAACGCAACGTTTTTGTGTTTGTCCCTTTAAATGCAAATGAGCTGGTGCTCCCGGCCCCCTTTTCTGAAGAGGGTGGAGCTTAAATTTCTCATGCTCTGTCATACAAATAAACATTCCACTATTAGTACAAACCTGTTATCTTTACAGAAAACATAAAGAAAACAAAGTCAGTCATCTGATTACTGTGCATAATAAATGTGCATTTATGAATTACACAGACGGGGAGCACGGCGCGATAAAAATAACGACATAGCTGGTCTTATGGTGCCTTTGTAAAATATAAGTCCCACTTGTGATTATGAGCTCGGCAAATTCAAGTGGTCGATTTCACATTGCTTTCATATGCAATATTTAACTACAGTACCACATTCCTATTTACGATCATTCTGGTAGCATGTGAAGGCAGCATCAGTGAAAACAGGCAGAGAATAATGGTAGCTTTAGCAACATTAGCCTTATAGAGTGCCAAGAACCTATTCCAGAAAGGCAATTTCGAAAACAAAATATGACGTGTGATACTTACTCTGTCTGGAGCTGACGTTCGCGCATGAAGTGTTGGTATTGATTCCTAAACATATAGGGGACTTTACCCATTTTTGTCCAGGATATTTGCTTCGAAAATGAAACTGAACCACAGTGTCCTCAGCAGCTCAGATAGAGGGAGTCTATGGAGACTCCACCTATATGTTCATTGGTGCATCCCAAAACACAACACTTGTAATGCCTCTTTAGTGCTGAAATTGTATATCTCCATCAGCTACAGCAAGAAAACAGTAATGGCAGACTGCTGCTTCCCACTCAGGTCTGTGTTTATGCTAATAGGGCAGAGAGCGTCACAAATGGGTGGAACTTTTTCCCTAAGATGACGTGTACTTGGGGAGAATCTGAATCCGCTCGTTTGGAGAGACTGTTTATAATTTATTGGGATTACAAAAAAATGAGTGAGTGACACCTTATAAAACGCCTTATAAAAGTGATTTTTTGCAGAATAGGTCCCCTTTAAAGCTTTTTGAAAATGACACACTTCCTGCTGCCAGTTGGTGGCGCTATAACTTTGCCTCCTTCAACGAACAAGCTGCTGAATTTTATCAAAATCAATGTATGCTGAAGTTACAACACGCTTCCTTTTCCCCTTTCCCACCATAAATTTGCTGCCTCGCCACAGCCAAACCAGATCATGTTGACCGAGTTTAAAAAAAAAATTATTAGCAGTCCTTAGAAAAACCATAAGGCCCTATTGCCCTAAACATTGTACTGTCTTGATCACTTTAATGGTAACTTTACACAGACTGGGCTAAGCATGTTTTTCACACAAAGGGTTTGCTTTGGCTGTACTTCTGAAATGGTTCACATTTAAACAGGAAATGACTTGCCCCTAGACTTCTATTGAAAGTGCATACATTACTGTACTGTAAACATAATGACATGAATACATTTTTTCAAACAGAGGGACGAGTCTATTAGCAATAGCAAAAGACAGACAGCATACTTGTACTAACCCAGAACATTATATTAACAGTGTACCTGATGTGTATTTTTATGAACTGTATCTTTTGAAAAACAGCAGTTACAATAGACTATTACAACTAATAACTAACTTTCAAACCCCCCAGAAAAACCTTGAATCATTGTGATTAAGGACATCTGTCTTAAAGGAATAGTTCACCCAAAAATTCACTCATGGTGTCATTTATTCACCCTCATGTCATTCCAAACCTGTATGACTTTCTTTATTCCATGGCAAAGAATCTGACTCAAAAGAATAATGCTTTCATTGGACATCATCACTGTTTAGAGCTATTGCACAAATCAAGAGTTTCTGTAAAAACACAAACAAAACAACACACCATTTGTGATTAACAGAAGAAAGTAAGTCAGAGAGGTTTGGTACTTCTTGGTGAGGGTGAGTAAATAATGACAAAATGTTCATTTTGTGGGTGAACTAACCAGCCTGAGTGGGATGCGCCACAACTTGCACTTCTGCTTTCACAGTGGTAGTCTCTCTCTCTCTCTCTCTCTCTCTCTCAGTGCTGTTCCTGGGGGGCACTGCATATTTGAGATGTTTTGTTTATCTACACATCTGATTTAACAGAACTCAGAAGTAGACTGACTTAAGTAGGTGTGTTAGATAAGCTAGACATCCAGGAGTAGAATGGAAAAACACTGTTTTTTTTTGCTAGGTACATGTACGATTAATCAGTCAATCTATGTCTGTCTCTCCCATACACCATGACAAACCCTCAGCTGACAGGAGTCTACAGTTCTTCTCCTGCATTGGAGCGGTACTTCTCCAATGTCACCATAAACAATCTCCAGTGAGTCAATTTCACACTCCACTGTCACATTTTACGCCTTCTTTTCAGTTTATTTGCTTGTGCATACCGTAGTGTGCCTTTAAGCCTTGTCCACACATTTTCGGTGTGACCCAGACAGACACATCTAATTTATATCAAGTTAGCTCAGAAGTAGACTGACTTAAGTAGGTGTGTTAGATAAGCTAGACATCCAGGAGTAGAATGGAAAAACACTGTTTTTTTTGCTAGGTACATGTACGATTAATCAGTCAATCTATGTCTGTCTCTCCCATACACCATGACAAACCCTCAGCTGACAGGAGTCTACAGTTCTTCTCCTGCATTGGAGCGGTACTTCTCCAATGTCACCATAAACAATCTCCAGTGAGTCAATTTCACACTCCACTGTCACATTTTACGCCTTCTTTTCAGTTTATTTGCTTGTGCATACCGTAGTGTGCCTTTAAGCCTTGTCCACACATTTTCGGTGTGACCCAGACAGACACATCTAATTTATATCAAGTTAAAGTTGACCGAAATTACATTTTAATGCTGTGTTTCCATTCAGGGACACTACAGGCCAGTTTAAGCTCCAGTTCATGATGCCTTTAAAACATGAGAAGTTGATACGCTACACTTTGAGTCTAAAGATGGTTAAAAATGTGCTGCTCCAACACTTGTATGATCGAGACACTGGAGACCCTTTCTATATCATACCGACATCACTCCACATGGAAGGTGAGGAGATATTTTTTTTTGAACAAAATAAGAATAAATTATAAATAAATAATAAAAGTCATCAATACACTCACAACAATTATTGATAATAATAAAAAGTACAAGTACGGAAATGATATATGAAATGATACACAATCTTTGCATGCAGGACGTCCAAATATAAAAATAAATCTGTTTTTTTTGTTTTATTAGGAGAATTGACTATGATTTTCTTGTTTTTTGTTTGCTTTTCTTTTCAGCTGGATAAATAAGCAAAACTTGAATTACAAGATGGATGTTCTAAATTGAATCACTGGTCCCTTCATCAGAAAACAAAACATTCCAAACATCACATTATTTCATTTGACTGCCTTCTGCACTCTTTAACAGATCTCTTATATAGTATATATAATAATTATATAGTAATTATCCACCATTAATAATTAACTCAGTCTTTATGGGTTCACTTAAAAAAAAGTCAGTGTTCATACAGTATGTTTTACACACTTTATATCTAAAGTTTTATATTTAACACTTTCAAAACACTTAATGGAAAACGGTAGAGTAAAACAGATTTTTTTTGCATTATTATTAATAATATATTTTAGATTAGATGGATGTAGCCTACTGTTTAGAAATATGGAGGTTTACATTTGTCACAATTTGAGTCTCAAAAGATTATCGAAACACTGAATATGGAACTTCCAAACCTGTTCTGTTGTTATGATGTTAACTTCCATGTTGCTCCATGATGAATTTTTATAATAATACTGTAAGTGTACTGTACTTTTATTGATCTCTATTGATTGAACATTGGACCATTTTTTTAAATCAATGTGGAGCAATTCTTTGTATGCGTCAGATTTTTAAAATGCTTTTTTAAAATAAAAAATTGCTATAAATATGTGCTATAATGGAATTATTTTACTGTATTTCTACATGAAAAATTGAAATTATCTGTATTATAATCCAGATGATCTGAACTTTTTTCCCCTGATAGATAAGGTACAAAGTTGACCTTTTTAGAGGGCACCACCTCAGTTACAGCTTTTGTACCTTTTTTTGTTTATTTATTAATTTAGTGTGTGTAATTCTTAAGACTGTAAGTAGTCAAACATGAAAGACTAATTCAGAGTGTCAGGGTCTGGCGTCTGGTGTTCTCCCTCTCACCACCAGAGGTCGCCATTTCCCATCCTCCCGGATTCCTTTTCCATTACCTTGACTCCACACACCTGTGCACACACTCTCTCTCTCTCTCTCTCTCTCTCTCTCTCTCTCTCGGTCTGGCGTCTGGTGTTCTCCCTCTCACCACCAGAGGTCGCTATTTCCCATCCTCCCGGATTCCTTTTCCATTACCTTGACTCCACACACCTGTGCACACACTCTCTCTCTCTCACACACACACACACACACACACACACAGCTGTTGCCCATCCTGAACTCCGTTACCTTGACTCCACACACCTGTGCACACACTCACTCACACACAGCTGTGGCCCATCCTGAGGGCTATTTATACGCCTTCCCCACGCCTCTCTGGGCGGATTATTAATAATTGTTAGGAGTTGTATAATGTAATGGTGTTCGTCGTCTCTAGACCTGTTTTTGTTGGCCTTTCGGTTTAAATAAAGAAGTTTTCACCTGCATTTGGACCCAGACCCTGTTTACATGGTGTTTTCCTAACCGTGCCGTGACACAGAGCATTCACAAGTAAATAAAAAAAAAACATCTATTAATTGGATCATTCCTAGACATTAATTTTTTTTTTAATTAAATAAAATGCGTCATATGTGAACGCCAATTTCACTCTTATTCAACCACCTTCACACTCTTGCACATGGATCAACTACTGTATAACCAGGCCATTACTCATTCTACTGTAACAGTAAGTGCTGATTTGCGAGGGGCACGGCCTGTAATGGCAGCTGGACTGTGTTGTCGTCTGTAGTTGATGTGAATTTATTTATTATAAATGAATGATTGAATGTGTATTTATGTAGTTTTTGTGCCAGTGCATCCATAGTATTAGAATCTGCATTGTTTTTGGTCTTGTGTCCAGTAGGGGCAGTACTGCTACCAGAAATAGGCAACTACTTGCCAAGCAATGCCATTACCAAACATTTGTTGTTTATTGAATTATAATATATTAGTTGTAACTAATATATTATAATTATATAAGTTGTGCGTGTTAAACATCATCCAAAATTAAAGTAGTACTTTGGTATTTGCTCTTGATTGTCTTCTGCTCTATATATAGATACTATTTAGTGAGCTTAGGAGCAGCTTCAATGTGTCATTTGTTAAAAAATTGGTGTCTCCTCAAAGTCCTTAGGAGAAATAAAACCGGCTCAAAGGTGAATTTTTACAGTAAGAGTATAGATTTTAAATAATACAAGCCTTCATTTATTTGTACAGCAAAAGCAGTAAAATATTTTTACTATTTAAAATAACTGCTTTCTATTTGAATATATTTTACAAATGTTACTGTCTTACTGTTCAAAAACATTTGACTGGTAGTGTATAAAAATGAATGTGGACAACAGCTCACATAATTGGTCATTGAAAATTTTTATTTAAAATCGGTTATATCAGTGTTCAAAACTATCAGTTACATCACAGTTCATTTTGAGTTAACAGTTTACAAAGTACTCACTGAATGGATTGTGTCTATCCATGGCTAAGGAACATTACACTTTTACAACCATGCTAGTTAATTTCTATATTTCTATGTTCCCATAAATGTCAAAAACTGAGGGACTAAACACAAATAAATATCATGCTAATAAAAATCATTATAAAAAAAAAAGCAAAGGCAAAATTGTGATTTTAGGAGTAGATAACTGTTAGGGGAGAAAGGTAATAAACCAGTACATGAATGAGTATGGGGTAATCATTTTATTGGCTATCATACATTAAAATGTTTCACTGTAAATAAAAACTTAAATGTTTTACAGACATAAATGTTTGGTGAAATCATTTGCATTATCTTTGTTGCCCTCTGCTGGTGACACCAGCAAGAAATTCTTATCTCGAATGTAACCAGCTCTTTAATTTCTCTAAGGTGAAACTCAAAATTTCTTTCACCTTCTCTTAAATTTTTACCTTCTCCTAAACGGTTTAAAAGTCTAAAACACATAGTAAAATAATTACAGCTCATTTCACTGTTATTTCAGCAAGTGTATTAGATTGTGGAAATCTGATGATGTAAACCAAAAGAACAGTCCCACAAAGAGATGACTGTGCTTTCATTTTCTCTTGATTGTTACTGTGACGTCTCTGTAGCAGCTCTTTAGTCACCATCAGCTGATCCTGAAAAAAATGGACTAACATCTAAATAATGAGAGTCATACAGTAGAAGACACAGATAGTAACATACTGTATGGAGTATTAGACAGTAAACAGCTGTAAACAACTTTTCCTTTGTCACTTTGATACAGTAAGAGTTAGAATATTATTATTATTATTGTGTGTGTGTGGGTGCAAATATTGTATATATTAATTGTATGAAATATACTAACAATAACTGTTTAGTCTGTCCAGTTTATAATATGGATCATCCTTTAGAGCAGAAAGCAGCTTTACCGAGTCTCCTAGTTTATTATAAAACAGATCCAGTTCTCTCAGGTGTGAAGGGTTTGATCTCAGAGCTGAAGCCAAAGCAACACAACCTTCATCTGTGACACCACAATTAATCAGCCTGTAGGGAAGATGATTACACACTTTGTAGTTTGCACAATGATACTGTGTAAGCAGTGTGTAAAAATGACTTCAGTAATGCAGTCAATGGCCTGCAAACACGTTTAACCTGATGCTATATGTGCTGGAAATGTGGGTTGTTATAGAATGTGGCTAATGAATCACCTAGAGAAGTTTCACAACAAGCTTACATCACAAGTGTGCTGACAGTTGGACGGAAATGATGGTTTATATCCACCTTATTTTTCCTGCAAAAGCGGGCGCAGTCATTTGTAAATTTAATTTGTCTGGCTCATTCGCGTTCAGCTATTTTTGTAAACTGGTGTTTCTTATCATATTATTTTAATGTATTAATTATGAACACACTGTAATAATTATCACACACACACTTAATTATGAACACACTGGTTTGTAGTACAAACAGTTCCCTATCGAACAGGAACTCCTGTTGCGTCGCTTGACGGTTATGAGGGTACTGAAGCCTGATTTGCTAATGTTTGTGTAGCCGCACAAACCAATGGTGCTTGAGCCCGCCAGAACGGGCGGAGCCAACTGCTATATAAGTCGGCCCACAGCGCCATCTCATCAGAATCTTATCCTTCAGCGATGAAAACATCTCGTCGCTGAATCTGCAATCAAGAAGGCTAAGAAGGAAGAGGCTTTCCTGCTCTCCGCCATAGAAGGAGTCCCAGCAGCAGAAGAGATCCAGCCTTCTCCTGCGGCCATCCAGCTATTCCCATAGAGTAAATATGAGCAAATTTCCTAAGAAAATCCAAGGAACTCTCAAACGATCCAGATGGGCACAGTGAGTGCGTCGCCTGTCAGGGTGGCGCCTACACAGAGACTGCGCTCACTGAGACTTCATGTTCTCATTGCGAAAATATGATTCTCTCCTGTCTTCACTCGTGGATCGCTTTCCTTAATGAAGGTGCCCTCAGCACCCTGTGCACTTCATTCTCGTTTCGCCGGTGTGCTTCACACGGGAGGATCAACACCCCTCATCGGCTGTGAACAGCTTGATTTCTTTCTCAGAGGCTGTTGCAAGTCACCCCAAGACATTGTCCACCAAGCAGGCTGCAAAGTAGGCGCTGCCTCAGCCCCTGCTAAAGCCGGAGCCTGGGCTTCAACAGCGCACCCCGATGGCACAGTTTCCCTTCCCGAAGCGCCAAGGTCCCTGCCCTTGAGTAACCCTGGACCCTGACCCACAGAAGTCATCCTGATCTGAGTGCAGAGAGGAAGAGGAGAGGGCTAGTTCTTGCGAAGGCCGGAACCCCCTAAAAGAAAGCTTGAAGTCATTCCCCACCTTTTCGAATATCTCTGAGCGGTGGAGGTTTTTCAGCCGTGCACGTCCTGCAAGCTCCAGCAAATTATTGCTGTGATAGCGGACCCACATACTCAAAAAAGCATTTCTCCTCTCCCTGCAATCACAAATGTCAGCTCCCCATCTCAGCACGGCGAACTGGCATTAATAAAAATGGAACCACTTGCCACCGGCTCTTGGCTTGTAATGCCATTCCCCGCATGTCAAGCTGGGTCTTAAAAGTCATACAACAAGGTTACTCCCTCCAGTTTGATTGCAGGCCGCCTCGTTTCAGAGGTGTTGTGCACAATTCGGTACGGGACAACGAAGCACATGTTCTTCAGTCCAAAGTGCAAACATTGCTTGCAAAAGGTCCCATAGAAATGGTCCCTTTAGCGAACAGCAAGTCAGGTTTTTACAGCGATACTTCCTCATTTCCAAGAAAGATGGCGGGCTCAGACCAACTCTCGATCTCAGACATCTGAATTGCTCTCTCATTTGACAGCCGTTCAGAATGTTAACTCTGAAACAGATACTCATGGAAATATGTCCTGAGGACGGGTTTCTGTCTGTGGATCTGAAAGACACATACAAAGCCCCCATCACAGACTGTTCTTGAGATTCACATTCGAGGGAGTGGCCTATCAATACACAGTCCTACCGTTTGGACTGTCTCTGGCTCCTCGCACTTTAACGAAGTGCATGGACACGGCTCTTTCCCCTTTGAGGCAGATCGGAATCCGCATCTTGAATTACTTTGATGACTGGCTGGTGCTAGCCAGAACAGAACGGCAACTTACAGCTCACAGAATGTTGTTGCTCAACCACCTGAAGCGTCTTGGGATGAGAATCAATTCAGCTAAGAGTTTACAGCGAGTTTCTC